TTTGAGTCCATCAGGGTTATTCAAAAGTCTATGGTGTTCCCTTCCCAATTAAGAAGAATGGTTTCGTGCAACACATTACAATGACTTCACCTATAATTTAGCATCACTTAATAATAGGTATGTGTAACTATTATTCTTTAGTGATAGAGAAAAATCAGTAGACAAGAAAAAACAAAACGAACAAAACCTAGGGCATGAGTCCTTGTCCATGTGAGTCCCATAGTTCTGATGCCACAGTCTCCTCATTAAACAAGTGTCGCTTTGCGGTTGTACACGGAGTCACTACCTCACAGAAGCTAACAGCTTTGTAGGGTTTTAAAAGCACAGACTGCACACATCATATCACTGTTGCAGAGGCAATTGTCAGGGGTGCACAAAACAGTATCTTATAAATGTAATGTGCAGTACTCGTATACATACTGGCAGGCTATTTATTTTATTATGTTATGCACAGAGAGGTTGATTATTTTAATAAATATATACCATGAGACCAGTGTAACTTGCTTTAGGTAAAGCCTTTGTAGTGCTGGCAAAGAGAAAAAAAAGATGTTGATATTTTATGGGCAGACTTCTTGTTTTAATGAAATAGATTTTCATAGATAGACTGAAGCATAGGAGGCAATTCATTCCAGTTTTTAAAATCATTTTTTCTGTTCTTCATGAGGTGCGAATGTTGAGTGTAACAGCATACGGCTTTCACAAATCTCTTTTGCAAATAATGTAAAACATGAAGTACTTTGTATCTCCAGTCTTGTGCTTTCCACCTTACTTTGTGTGTGTGCATGCGATGAGAGGCAGTGCGGTGGTTGCAGTGGCTAAGAACCAGGCACAGGGGCTAGACTGCCCGTTATTCACCTGTACTCACCCACACAGCCGCCCACTGCCTTGGAATCAATTCCTACTAATGTGCTAATCTGTAAAATAGGAGTAATAAAAGGATATTACAAATATCAAATGAGTGGATGTTGTTGAGGATTAAATGAGATTATAAATGTAAAGTTGTTAGACTCTTTCCTGGTAAAGGTGAAATGCTGAGAAGTGTTAAATACTAGTGTTTCTAAGGTGCTGTTATTCTGACTCAAGCATCCCTATGGACAATAGAAGGAAACACTGCTCTGGTCCCGTGCCATCCTCACAATTGTGGCTTGAGCCCATGGCTGTGCCCATCCTGCTCATTGAAGATCGTTTTACTTTTGTGTGTGCTGACCAATCACACTGTCCTCCAGGGACTGGTCTCTCCTGAGAGGATCACTAATTGCATAATGGTTACACTTTAGGCTGCTAACTACAAGGCCAGCAGTTTGAAATCATCAGCTGCTTGTGATGGGAAGATGAGGCTTTCTACTCTTGTAAAGAGTTAGTCTCTGAAACGCCTGAGAGAGTTCCACCTTACCTTACCGAATTGCTGTGAGGTGGAATCAAGTCAATGGTAGGAAGTTTGTTTGTCTGTTTGTTCTCTCTGGAGAACAACTATGTTTAAGGTCAGAGACAAAGTCTTACCACCCCTATCCTAAGGAGCAT